GCGGTGTATGCGCCACGCCCTCCTGGCTTGTCCAGGAGGGCGTATGCACAGCTCCCGGGCCCAGGACGGGCGCGGCCAGGCGGCCGTGGACATGTCTGGATCTCGTCGCCCGGAGGCAAGAACCGAGAGGCCCACGCGGACCTCAGAGCTTTTAAGCTTACGTCGCTGCTTGTTCCGCTCAGGCAGGGCCCCGACTCCCGATCCGCCGTGCTTCTTGGGGCGACGTCGCGGGAAAAGAGCGGGATTTGTCCTGCCTACTGCTTGAGCTCCTCTGATGTCATGTCGGCGATGCCGCTCTGCCTCGCCGTCGCTGTGTTCCGCCATGCCTTTGCGGAAATCTCCGCCCTCTTTTCCCGAGGCGGAAAGTTCCGCCCTGCCTTTTTCGTATCGTTTTGGGTCTGCACTCCCGACACACTTGGAAGTCGGAGAACCAACCAAAGTACGGCGGGTCCGAAGTCACGGCCAGGCACCCCGTCTGGAGACTGCAAGGATGAGGGGGGGAGGCCCCGCTCGGGCCTTGGCCTCCAAGGAGGAAGGGTGAGGGGGGAGAGGACTAGGATGAGGGGGGGAGGGAGGAGGAGGAGGAGGAGGAGGAGGAGGAGGAGGAGGAGGAACAGGAACAGGAACAGGCTATCCCACGTAGTGGTTAGGAGGAGGAGGAGGAGGAGGAGGAGGAGGAGGAGAAGGAGAACCAGTGCAAACCCAGCACTCGTCAATTATATTGCCATAAACTCTCCCTCCAACTACGAAGGGCGCGCATACGCCAACAAATTATCCCGGCAAAGCAACCTAACAGCGATGTGTAGGAGCATACCTGGAAGCATTCCCCTTAAGATTCAGATAAGAATCCTGTTGTAGAATTCTGCTGTTCTCGCAGTCGTGGTTGCATTCGCGATGGCAGTCGCACTGGCAACAGCAGTCGCAGTCACAGCCTCAGCCTCAGCCTGCCTCAGCCTCAGCCTCAGCCTGCCTCAGCCTCAGCCTGCCTCAGCCTCGCCCTCAGCCTGCTTCAGCCTCAACATCAGTCTGCCTTCAGCCTCGGCCTCAGCCTGCCTCAGCCTCACCCTCAGCCTGCATCAGCCTCAGCCTGCCTCAGCCTCGCCCTCAGCCTGCTTCAGCCTCAACATCAGTCTGCCTTCAGCCTCGGCCTCAGCCTGCCTCAGCCTCACCCTGCATCAGCCTCAGCCTCAGCCTCAGCCTGCCTCAGCATCAGCCTGCCTCAGCCTCAGCCTCAGCCTGCCTCTGCCTCAGCCTCAGCCTGCTTCAGCCTCAGCCTCAGTCTGCCGTCGGCCTCGGCCTCAGCCTCAGCCTGCCTCAGCCTCAGCCTGCATCAGCCTCAGCCTCAGCCTCAGCCTGCCTCAGCATCAGCCTGCCTCAGCCTCAGCCTCAGCCTCAGCCTGCCTCAGCCTCAGCCTCAGCCTGCTTCAGCCTCAGCCTGAGTTTGCCTTCAGCCTCGGCCTCAGCCTCAGCCTGCCTCAGCCTCAGCCTGCATCAGCCTCAGCCTCAGCCTCAGCCTGCCTCAGCATCAGCCTGCCTCAGCCTCAGCCTCAGCCTGCCTCAGCCTCAGCCTCAGCCTGCTTCAGCCTCAGCCTCAGTCTGCCTTCAGCCTCGGCCTCAGCCTCAGCCTGCCTCAGCCTCAGCCTGCATCAGCCTCAGCCTCAGCCTCAGCCTGCCTCAGCATCAGCCTGCATCAGCCTCAGCCTCAGCCTGCCTCAGCCTCAGCCTCAGCCTGCTTCAGCCTCAGCCTCAGTCTGCCTTCAGCCTTGGCCTCAGCCTCAGCCTGCCTCAGCCTCAGCCTGCATCAGCCTCAGCCTCAGCCTCAGCCTCAGCATCAGCCTGCCTCAGCCTCAGCCTCAGCCTGCCTCAGCCTCAGCCTCAGCCTGCTTCAGCCTCAGCCTCAGTCTGCCTTCAGCCTCGTCCTCAGCTTCAGTCTGCCTTCAGCCTCAGCCTGCCTCAGCCTCAGCATCAGCCTGCCTCAGCATTCAAAGTGTGGCCCGGGAATGGAGTTCTGGGAACTCGAAGAACACGAAATGGCCTACAGTTGGCTCCGGGCATTCAAAATCATGCCCAGGAATGGAGTTCTGGGAACTCGAACACCACGAAGTGGCCTACAGTTGGCTCCGGGCATTCAAAATCATGCCCAGGAATGGAGTTCTGGGAACTCGAAGACCACGAAGTGGCCTACAGTTGGCTCCGGGCATCCAAAATGTGGCCCGGGAATGGAGTTCTGGGAACTCGAAGAGCACGAAGTGGCGTACAGTTGGCTCCGGGCATTCAGAATGTGGCCCGGGAATGGAGTTCTGGGAAATCGAAAAGCACGAAGTGTGTGACTGTATGCGAAAAACGATCCCCCCCGGCAAACCCCAAAGGCTCCCCAACGGCTGCCCAGACCCCCCTGTGGAGTAATGCGCTGCTCTCTTTTTAGTCCATTAGAAACCTATCAGTCTTCGCTGTTAGGTAAAAACTCTCCCTCCAAGTTCCGACTTAGGCCCTACAAATATTCATTTTCACTGAGGGAAGTGCCCAATTGGAAGATTATCCCGGCAAAACAACCTAACAGCGATGTGTAGGAGCATATCTGGAAGCATTCCCCTTAAGATTCGGATGAGAATCCAGTTGTAGAATTCTGCTGTTCTCGCAGTCGTAGTCGCATTCGCGATGACAGTCGCAGTGGCAACGGCAGTCGCAGTCACAGCCGCAGCCTCAGCCTGCCTCAGCCTCAGCCTCAGCCTGCCTCAGCCTCAGCCTCAGCCTCAGCCTGCTTCAGCCTCAGCCTCAGTCTGCCTTCAGCCTCGGCCTCAGCCTCAGCCTGCCTCAGCCTCAGCCTCAGCCTCAGCCTCAGCCTGCCTCAGCATCAGCCTCAGCATCAGCCTGCCTCAGCCTCAGCCTCAGCCTGCCTCTGCCTCAGCCTCAGCCTGCTTCAGCCTCAGCCTCAGTCTGCCTTCAGCCTCGGCCTCAGCCTCAGCCTGCCTCAGCCTCAGCCTGCATCAGCCTCAGCCTCAGCCTCAGCCTGCCTCAGCATCAGCCTGCCTCAGCCTCAGCCTCAGCCTCAGCCTGCCTCAGCCTCAGCCTCAGCCTGCTTCAGCCTCAGCCTCAGTCTGCCTTCAGCCTCGGCCTCAGCCTCAGCCTGCCTCAGCCTCAGCCTGCATCAGCCTCAGCCTCAGCCTCAGCCTGCCTCAGCATCAGCCTGCCTCAGCCAGCCTCAGCCTCAGCCTCAGCCTGCCTCAGCCTCAGCCTCAGCCTGCTCAGCCTCAGCCTCAGCCAAAGCCTCAGTCTGCCTTCAGCCTCGGCCTCAGCCTCAGCCTGCCTCAGCCTCAGCCTGCATCAGCCTCAGCCTCAGCCTCAGCCTGCCTCAGCATCAGCCTCAGCCTCAGCCTGCCTCGCCTCAGCCTCAGCCTGCTTCAGCCTCAGCCTCAGTCTGCCTTCAGCCTCAGCCAGCCTCAGCTCTGCCTCAGCCTCAGCCTAAGCCTCAGCCTCAGAAAATGTGGCCGGGAATGGAATTCTGGGAACTCGAAGAACACGAAGTGGCCTACAGTTGGCTCCGGGCATTCAAAATCATGCCCAGGAATGGAGTTCTGGGAACTCGAAGACACGACGAAGTGGCCTACAGTTGGCTCCGGGCATTCAAAATCATGCCCAGGAATGGAGTTCTGGGAACTCGAAGAGCACGAAGTGGCCTACAGTTGGCTCCGGGCATCCAAAATAATGGAGTTCAATGAAGAGCACGAAGTGTGGCTCCGGGCATGGGAATGGAGTTCTGGGAAGTTCTGGGTTAGGTCGAAGAGCACGAAGTGTGTGACTGTTGGTGAAAAACGAGCCCGGCACAGGCCCGGCCGGCAACTCCCAACGCCTGCCCGGACCCCCCTGTGGAGTGATCTGTGAGCTCTTTTGAGTCAACTAGAAACCTATCAGTCTTCGCTGTTAGGTAACAACCGTTTGAAAATCCTGAATGGCAGCAGAACGCCATTTTGGGGACTTCAATGCCGCGAATCACCGTTACGGTTGCGTTATGATGGTCCGGAATCGTGCCAGAACACCGTTCCTGGGATTTCAGCGCCACGAATCAAAGTAACTGATGCACCCTGACAGTCTGGCATCGTGCCTAAACAGAACTTCTGGTACGTTAATCATGAGAGTCCTTTGGAATTCTGTAAACTCTTAAAACGAATGTGCGCAACGCTCAGGCGAGAACCACATGTTGAAAAGGAGCCTCATTCCACCAATGAAACTCATGCAAGGATAGAGCCACATTTTGAAAACCACCCGCCCTCAATCCGCGAAACTCTTGCGAATGTGGAAAACGACTGTGAGCGGCCGCTGAGGCGAGAGCCACATCTGGAAAACGACCCGCCCTCAATCCGTGAAAGCCCTTGCATGTTCGAAAACGATCGTGCGCGGCGCTGCGGCGAGAGCCGCATCTTGAAAGGGAGCCGCCCTCCGTCCTTGAGTTCGCTGCAAGCTTTTACGGCGAACGTGCGCGGCGCGAGAGCGAGAACTGCTGTTTGAAAGCGGCTCGCCCTCCATTCGTTGCGTGCGCGGCGCTCGGGCGAGCACCACAATGTTGGGAGACGGCCCGCCCTCCGCCCGCGGAACTTCTGCACATGCGCGCCGCCGGAAAAAGCGAAAAAACCACACTTGGAAACCGGCCCGCTCTCCGTCCGCGGAGCTCTTTCCTCCTCGACCGTCTGCGATCCTCCTCCTCCTCCTCCTCCTCCTCCTCCTCCTCCTCCTCCTCCTCCGCCTCCGCCTCCTGCCCCGGGAGACCGGCGGCCCAGGGCTCGACGCCCGCGCCGCCTCGACATTCGTAAAACGAGTGTGCGCGGCTGCGCGGCGCTGAGGCGAGGGCCACACATTTGGAAAAGTGCCGCGGCGGCGGCCCCGGCCAACTCGCCATGCCATGCGGGCGGACAGCGTGTCGCTCCGCTCCGTGGGGCGGGAGGTCGGGAAAGGCCCGCGACTGGACGCCTGGGGGCTGGGACGTGGACAGCGCGACGTGCCACAGCGTGGTGGGCCAGAACCGGCACAGCGACACGCTAAGCCCAAGTTCCTGACCGTAGCGGCGGAGACCAGCGGAAGCTCCTGCTCTGCCCTCCCCCACCCCTCTCACCTCCCCCTCTTCCCCCTCCTCCTCATCCTCTGTCTCTTCCTGCTACTTCTCCCCTCCTCGCTCGTCCGTATAGTCGTCGTCCCCCTCCCCCTCCCCCTTCTCCTCCTCCTCGCCTCCTCCTCCTCCTCCTCCTCCTCCTCCTCCTCCTCCTCCTCCTCCTCTTCCGCCTCCGCATCCTTCGACCTCCCACCCTTGTTCTCCTCCCCCACCCCGCTCATCTCCCCTTCCCCCCTCCTCTCCCTCCTCAGATCTCCGACGTCGTGAATTTTTCACAGCGTCGACCACCAAAATTCTAAACCCCTTGCCCGGGACTGGTTTTGCACCCCGAACGATTTTTGACGATCCTGTGGCACAGCGAGTGCCCCTGGAGGCCGGAACCTGCCACAAACCTCGACGAGAAAAGGCGGGGGTGACCTTTCACACCCTCGTCCTCGTCCTCGTCCTCCTTCGATCTCCCCCGCCCGCTCTGACCTCCCGCTCCCCATCGCTTCCTCCGACCTTCCCCTCCCTCCCTTGTCCTTACAAGTAGCTCCTCCCTGTCGCGCCCCCAGACGTGTCGGTAGGGCGGAACGGGCGTCTCGCCTGAGCCCTCCTCACCATCTGTGACCCCGAAGCTTGAAGTGCGCAGCAGCTTCATGGATGGAGGGCGGGCCGCTTTCAAAATGTGGCTCTCATTTTTTAGCGCCGCGCGCGTTCGTTTCAAAGTTGGCAACAGTTTCAACGATGGAGGGCGAGCCGCTTTCAAACAGCAGTTCTCGCTCTCGCGCCGCGCACATTCGCCGTAAAAGCTTGCAACGAACTCAAGGACGGAGGGCTGTTCCTTTTCAAAATGTGTCTCTCGCCTTAGCGCCGCGCACATTCGTTTTCAAAGTTTGCAGCAATTTCAAGGGCTCGCACGTGTGAAGTCCCAGGAACGGTGCCATGGCACGATCTAGGATTGCCATGACGCAACAGTCATATAGTTTCGCAGTGTTGGAGTCCGAGGAAAATGGCGCTCTGGAGCAATTTAGGATTGTCAGGGCGCAACAGTCACGTCGATTTCCGGCGTTGAGGTCCCAGGAGTAGTGTTTTGGCACAGTGAGGGATTCCCAGGCGGTTGTCTTCCATTGCGGCACTTCCCGCAATGCAAATCGATTGCTGTAGGGACCTACGAAGAGGGAACTTGGATGGAGGGTTTATTGCAACGTCGCTGGTGCGTCTTAGGTTTGCACTGGTCCTCCTCCTCCGCCCACGACCTCCCCCGACCCTCTGGACCCCCCCCCTCTCCTGCCCCTCCCCTCTGACGTCGCGCCACCCCCTCCCCGCCGGGAACGAGCGGCGCCTGGTGCTCGCGCTCTCCCCCCCTCTTCCGCAGGTCGTCGGCCAGGCACCCGATGCGCGCCGAGGTCCTGGAGACCGACGGGGAGAGGAGAGAGGAGGGCGGCAAGCGAGGCGCGCCGGCGCCATACCTGACGTCCTACCCCTCCCACCGGGTGAGAGGGAGGATGAGCAGGAGGAGGAGGAGGAGGAGGAGGAGGAGGAGGAGGAGGAGGAGGAAGAGGAGGAGGAAGAGGAGGACGAGGAGGAGGAGGAGGAGGAGGAGGAAGAAGATGGACGAGGACGAACAGCAGCATCAGGAACTGCAGCGGAAGGAGCGGGAGGTGCAGGAAGACCAAGGGGAGGCGGAGGAGCTGAGCAGGCGGACAAGAGGGAAAATGAGGACGGAGGAGGAGGACCAGGACGAACAGCAGCAGCAGCGGGAACTGGAATGGAAGGAGCGGGAGGAGCAGGAGGACCAGGGTGAGGCGGAGGAGGGGAATCGATGGGGGCGACAACGGTGAGGAAGGACTCGGATCCAGAAAAGTGGCCCACGCTGGGGCGACAGCGCCACTCAGAGCGACGGGAGCAAAACACCGATTCGAAAATGAGGCCCACGCTTCAGCGGGAGCACGTTTTTGAACCACCGAAAAGCAATCGGCTTGTAACAAAACCATAGAAGACAACTGTTGCCCAATTCTACGTGCAACAGAAAGAATACGCGGAGAGGGCGGATCACCGTCCGGACAGCGCCAGGGGAGAGAGGAGAGTAGCTAGTATTCAGAACGTGCAATTGAGAAAGCAGGAGGAGGAGGAGGGAAAAGGAGGAAAGAGAAGGAGAGAGAAGGAGCGAGGCGAAGGAGAGAGAAGGAGCGAGGAGGAGGAGGAGGAGGAGGAGGAGGAGGAGGAGCAGCAGCAGCAGCAGCAGCAGCAGCAGCAGCAGCAGCAGCAGCAGTGCAGGGTCGGGGAGCATTGAGATGGATGAGAAAGAGGAGCCAGACAATGCGGAGGACGGGGATGCGGGAGGAGGAGGAGGATCAGGAGGAGGTGGAGGAGGAGGAGGAGGAGGAGGAGGAGGAGGTGGAGGAGGAGGAGGAGGAGGAGGACGACGACGACAAGGGCGACGACGAAGGATCGAACACCTTTTGGGGCCGCGTGCCCCGCTTCACGCGAGCGGCGCGCCCCGCGCAGGCCGCCGACGACGCGGGCGGCGCCGACGAACGAGCGAACACCCCTCGGGGCCACCCGCCCAGCCTCGCGGGGACGGGCATGCCCCGCGACCGACAGGATCGACTACACGCAAGAGTGACCCTGGGTAAGAGTGACCTTTGGTGCGCGGCTTTTTGGAGGCCGCGGGGGGGCCAACCAACCACAGGCGCGCAAGACGCCACTGCCGCCTCGCGCTCGGCGAGCGGGGGACCCCATTGGGCCCGCACCAAAGGTCACTCCGGCGAAAGGTCACTCTTACGTCTCGTCGACCGGAGCAGCAGCAGGGGCGGCGACGGCGGCCGGGCCAGGCACGGCCGAGCGCACGTGCTGATGCCGCTGCGGGGGGGCAACCAGAGGGTGCCGATGCCGCTGCGCCCCGGGCCTCTCCTGCGGCGCGGTCTGGCCAGAATCTCGAGGCGCATCCAGCGATGGCGACGAGGGCCTCCCAGGCGAGACCGAGGGCAGGGTAGAGGAGGAGGAGGAGGAGGAGGAGGAGGAGGAGGAGGAGGAGGAGGAGGAGGAGGAGGTATGGGTACCTTTTCCTCCTCTGAGCTACGCCCTGGACCTCCTGCGTTCGTGCCAGAGTTTCGAGGCGATTCCACCCAGCCGTGGCGACAAGGGGAGGGCAGCGGCAACGGTATCTTCTCCTCCTGTGAGGGCATGCAGGGATGCGCGCGCCAGCAGGAGCACCCTGGAGCTGGGGGGGTGCCGCAGACGTGCTAAGGATAGCCAGAACCGAAGGATGCAAGGTGCCCTTGCGAGAAGGGCCCCTCCTTGACGCCTCATACCTTCCCTTAAGTCGGGCGTGTCCCCCAGCAGGCGGATCTTCGACAAAAAAAACACAGAGTCTGAAACTACGCCAAACATGCCCCAAACTAGTCCAACAATCGTCCCCAGACAATCTTTTTACCATTTTTGAACGTTCCTCCTGTAGAGGGACAGGCCCGACTTGAACCCTCCCCTCCCCCGACGGCAGCCCAGGGCGGCGCGGAGGGTCCGACGGCGAGGACGCAAGCTGAAGGGCGAGGTGGTGAAGGCGAAAAGCTGGCGCTGAACGCTACTCGAATTCATCCTGGGTCGTTCTGTGACGACTCCGAGCTTCGCAGAACGGGGTCCAGACGCCAAGAATGCAACAGACTCACGCCAAGAACGCCTCGTGCCTTCCCCTCCCCCGACTGCAGCCTGGGGCGGCGCGGAGGATCCCCAGACAATCGTCCCCAGACAATTTTTTGGTCTGCGGGTCGAGAGCGAGCCTCTTCAGGTTGAGAGCTAGGCGGGCCGCGCAAAGCACTAATTGGAGAAAACTCGTCCCCAGACAATCGTCCCCAGACAACTTTTCTATCATTTTGGAACATTCCTCCTGTCGAGGGACACGCCCGACTTGAACCCTCCCCTCCCCCGACGGTCCTCCTCCTCCTCCTCCTCCTCCTCCTCCTCCTCCTCCTCCTCCTCCTTCTCCTCCTTCCTCCTTCCTCCTTCCTCCTTCCTCCTTCCTCCTCCCGGGGCGGCGCTGGAGGGTCCTGGAGGCCTCCGCCGAGATGCGGGCGAAGGGCGCGCGCCTGTGGCCCACCGCGGTGCACACCGACTTGGCCTCGGCGCGCGCCCGTCCCGCCCGCAGGGGGAGGGGGGCCGCCTTGGGCCTGCGGCCGAGTTCGATTCTGAGGGGCCCGTTTTCCATCACCACCATCACCAGAAGTTGGAGGAGGAGCTCCTCCTCCTCCTCCTCCTCCTCCTCCTCCTCCTCCTCCTCCTCCTCACCTCCACCTCCTCCTCTTCCTCCTCCTCCAATGTATGGTGGTGGTGATGGTGGTGGTGGAAAACAAACACATCAGATTAGCAGGGCGACCCTACCAAATCGAGGGCAGGTCGACCCTACCAAATCAAGGGTGCAGTGCGGGTGCGGTCGAGAGAAACCCTCTTCCTCCTCCTCCAATGTATGGTGGTGGTGATGGTGGTGGTGGAAAACAAACACATCAGATTAGCAGGGCGACCCTACCAAATCGAGGGCAGGTCGACCCTACCAAATCAAGGGTGCAGTGCGGGTGCGGTCGAGAGAAACCCTCGCAAGAAACCCAACCCTGAAAACCCGCGCGCAGGGTGCACCTGAGGGGAAACCCAGAGCACCTTGAACGCATTAGCTTCTTCAACGGCTGCGGGAAGTCACCGCGCAGCGCGCAGAGCGAAACAAAAACAGGATACCCTGACGAAAAGCATCTGGTTTCTCGATGCGCGCCCACACTGTAGACCAAATCCCCGTAGAGAGCTCCAGAACTGGCCAGGCGCGCTCCGAAACGGCCCCAGAGGCGCCCAAAGCAGTTCAAAAGGGCCTCCAAAAAGAATCCCGCAGAAGGAACTGGACCTGACATTTCCGACCTTCCACCCCAAAACGCCAGTAGCCCCCCAAGAAACTAAAAAGATGCCCCAAGAAACCCTCAAGAAGCCCACGCACCCCAAGGGGTCGGCGACGCGGCGTATGCCCATGAATCCACGTCTGGAGTTGACGTGCTGAGCGGCAGCGTTTTTCGGCGAACGCCTTACTGCAACGTATCCAATTTATCCAATTATTGCATATTTGCCACATGTTGTATTGTGTTTCATTATTATGCCTCCCCCCCTAACCCCCTCTGGGAGCTGCGCCACACCGCCGGACCAAAGTGACGCACCCCTTTCTGGGCCCTAAAAACCTACAAAAACCAATGAAAATCAGCACATTCGGCCTCTTGGGCCTCTGGGGGCTCCTCGAGGGCCTCAAGATGGCCCAAGATGGCCCCAAGACGGCCCAAGACGGCCCCAAAACGGCCCAAGACGGCCCAAGATATTCCCAACGGGGACCCATGAGGCCCCCAAGACGGCCCCAAGACGGCTTCAAAAGCTCCAAGGACGGCCCAAGAGGGCCCCAAGAGCGCCTACAACTGCGCCTCCAGAGGCCGAAATCATTATTTTCCAAGGGTTTTTGCAATATTTTAGCGTTCTCGCCTTTTTCGACTCTCAAAAATCAATGGCGGCCCAAGCAGCTTCCAGAATCGCCCCAGAACAACCAACAAAAACACCAAAGAGGGCCCCAAGACGGCCCAGGAGGGTCCCAAAACGGCCCAAAGAGGTCCCCAAGACGGTCCAAGATGCCGCGAAGTCGGCCCAAGAGGACCCCAAGAGGGCTCCAATGCGGCCGCGAGAGGCCCCCAAGACAGCCTCCGAGGGGGCGAAACGGCGCAGAAGCGCCCCAAGACGGCCGAAGACGCCCCCAAGAGGCCCCAAGAGACCCCGAAAAACCCTCCAAGAAGCCTCCCAGAAGCCTCCAAAAGGCCCCCAAAAAAGCCCTCCAAAGGCCACACAGCGACTGGAGTGTAATGTTATATTCCCCCTCTCTGGGCGAACTGCGGCGCAGCGCCAGCCAGGTGGAAGTTGGTCACTGCGGCGCCCATGATTCGAGCCGGCGCTGGAAGGGAAGACGGGGAAGGCGTATGAAAACGAGGGAGGGGGAAAGGCCCCCAAAAAGTCCCCAAGAGGCCAAAAGAAACTCCCTGGAGGCCTCCAGGAGGCCCCCAAGAGGCTCCCAAGAGGCCCCGCGACGACGTGACTGTACGTGCTCCGGACGTGCACCCCGCGAAGCGAGAGGAATCCATGTCCGGAGGTGACGTGCTGAGCGGCAGCGTATTTCGGCGAACGCCTTACTGCATCGTGTCCAATTTATCCAATGATTGCATACTTGCCACATGTTGCATTGTGTTACATTATTATGTTTTCCCCCCCAACCCCTCGTGGGAGCTGCGCCACACCGCCGGACCAAAGTGACGCCTCCCTTCTGGGGCCCTAAAAACATACAAAAACCAATGAAAATCAGCACATTCGGCCTCTTGGGCCTCTGGGGGCTCCTCGAAGGCCTCAAGATGGCCCAAAATGGCCCTAAGACGGCCCAAGACGGCCCAAAGACGGCCCAAGACGGCCCAAGATATTCCCAACGGGGACCCATGAGGCCCCCAAGACGGCCCCAAGACGGCTTCAAAAACTCAAAGGACGGCCCAAGAGGGCCCCAAGAGCGCCTACAACTGCGCCTCCAGAGGCCGAAATCATTATTTTCCAAGGGTTTTTGCAATAGTTTAGCGTTCTCGCCTTTTTCGACTTTCAAAAATCAATGACGGCCCAAGCAGCTTCCAGAATCGCCCCAGAACAACCCCAAAAAACACCAAAGAGGGCCCCAAGACGGCCCAGGAGGGCCCCAAAACGGCCCAAAGAGGCCCCCAAGACGGTCCAAGATGCCGCGAAGTCGGCCCAAGAGGACCCCAAGAGGGCTCCAATGCGGCCGCGAGAGGCCCCCAAGACAGCCTCCGAGGGGGCGAAACGGCGCAGAAGCGCCCCAAGACGGCCGAAGACGCCCCCAAGAGGCCCCAAGAGACCCCGAAAAACCTCCAAGAAGCCTCCCAGAAGCCTCCAAAAGGCCCCCAAAAAACCCTCCAAAGGCCACACAGCGACTGGAGTGTAATGTTATTTTCCCCCCTCTGGGCGAACTGCGGCGCAGCGCCAGCCAGGTGGAAGTTGGTCACTGCGGCGCCCATGATTCGAGCCGGCGCTGGAAGGGAAGATGGGGGGGGTGTATGAAAAGGAGGGAGGGGGGAAAGGCCCCAAAGAAGTCCCCAAGAGGCCAAAAGAAACTCCCTGGAGGCCTCCAGGAGGCTCCCAAGAGGCTCCCAAGAGGCCCCGCGACGACGTGACTGTACGTGCTCCGGACGTGCACCCCGCGAAGCGAGAGGAGTCCACGTCCGGAGGTGACGTGCTGAGCGGCAGCGTTTTTCGGCGAACGCCTTGCTGCATCGTGTCCAATTTATCCAATGATTGCATACTTGCCACATGTTGTATTGTGTTACATTATTATGTTTTCCCCCCTAACCCCTCGTGGGAGCTGCGCCACACCGCCGGACCAAAGTGACGCCTCCCTTCTGGGGCCATAAAAACATACAAAAACCAACGAAAATCAGCACATTCGGCCTCTTGGGCCTCGGGGGGCTCCTCGAGGGCCTCAAGATGGCCCAAGATGGCCCCGAGACGGCCCAAGACGGCCCCAAGACGGCCCAAGACGGCCCGGGGACCCACGAGGCCCCCAAGACGGCCCCAAGACGGCCTCAAAAACTCCAAGGACGGCCCAAAAGGGCCCCAAGAGCGCCTACAACTGCGCCTCCAAAAGCCGAAATTATTATTTTCCAGTGGTTTTTGCAATATTTTAGCGTTCTCGCCTTTTTCGACTTTCAAAAATCAATGGCAGCCCAAGCAGCTTCCAGAATCGCCCAGAACAACCCAAAAAAACACCAAAGAGGGCCCCAAGACGGCCCCCAAGACGGTCCAACAGGCCGCGAAGTCGGCCCAAGAGGACCCCAAGAGGGCTCCAATGCGGCCGCGAGGGGCCCCCAAGACAGCCTCCGAGGGGGCGAAACGGCGCAAAAACGCACCAAGACGGCCGAAGACGCCCCCAAGAGGCCCCAAGAGACCCCGAAAAAGCCTCCAAGAAGCCTCCCAGAAGCCTCCAAAAGGCCCCCAAAAAACCCTCCAAAGGCCACGCAGCGACTGGAGTGTAATGTTATTTTCCCCCCTCTGGGCGAACTGCGGCGCAGCGCCAGCCAGGTGGAAGTTGGTCACTGCGGCGCCCATGATTAGAGCCGGCGCTGGAAGGGAAGATGGGGAGGGTGTATGAAAAGGAGGGGGGGGGAAAGGCCCCAAAGAAGTCCCCAAGAGGCCAAAAGAAACTCCCAGGAGGCCTCACGGAGACCCCCAAGAGGCTCCCAAGAGGCCCTGCGACGACGTGACTGTGCGTGCTCCTGACTGTGCGTGCTCCGGACGTGCACCCCGCGAAACGAGAGGAATCCACGTCCGGAAGTGACGTGCCGAGCGGCAGCGTTTTCCGCGGATGCTGTAACGCAGTAGATCCAATGCGTCCAATGTTTGCATAAATCCCACATGTTGTATTGTGTTACATTGTTATGTCTCCCCCCTAACCCCCCCCAGCAGTCGCGCCACATGAACGGACCAAAGTGGTCCCCTCCTCCCGGGGCTCAACAACCGACCCAAACCTACAGAAAATCTATGATTTGGATATGTTGGCCACTGTTCGCCCTCTTGGGGGTGTCAGCGGGCCCCAAGACGGCTCCAGATGGCCCCGAGACGTCCCAAGACGGCCCCAAGACGGTTCGAGATGGCCCCAACAGGGCCCAAAGTGCCCCCAATACGGCCCAAGAGGGCCCCAAGAGCGCCCACAAGAGCGCCTCCAGAGGCCAAAAACATAGATTTTCCTGTTGGTTTAAACAGATTTAAGCGTTCTCGCCTTCTCCGCCTCTCAGAAGCCCATGACGGCCCAAGCAGCCTCCAAGATGGCCCCAAGAAGGCCCAAGAAACACCCAAGCGGGCCCCAAAACGGACTCAGATGGCCCGAAGACGGCCCAAAGAGGCCCCCAAAACGGTCCGAGAGGCCCCCAAGACGGCCCAAGAGGACCCCAAGAGCGACCTAAGGCGGCCCCGAAAAGTCAACGGAACGGCTTCCGAACGGGTCCGACGGCGCAAGAGCGTCCCACGACGGCTCCAGACACCCCCAAGAAGGCCCAAGAAGCCCGAGAGGCCCCAAGGAGTCCCGAAAGAGGCCCCCAAGAAGCCTCCAAGAGGCCTCCACGAGGCCCCGAGAAGCCACGCAGTGGCCTGCGTCAGTGTATACGAATGGCAAGTTCCGGCGGTGCTTCGGGGCAGGCAGAACGGCACGGTCCCACAACGACCTCAGTGCGCATGCTCCGACGAGATAGGCAAACGAGCCAACGCCCAGACTGCGCGCCCCCCCTTCCCATGCAATTTTGGCATGGGTGCGGTCGCCAAGGGCTCGGGCGATAGTGCGGGCACAGCACGCGGCGAATTCGCCGATGCAAGGCGATAGCTGGGGAAAGGCGACGAAGGCGTCGAGGGCGATGCGAGGCAAGTGGTTCGTCGGGGGAGGAGGATGCAAGGAGGCGACGGCCACCCGACTGCGCATTACGGCTTCTGGCAGGCGGGGCATAGCAAGGCTGCGTTGCCGCGACTGGAAGATTTCACAATGTTTCGCGGGAGCCTCTCAGAGCACCGCGCTCACTGTAGCGGCGGCTCTCCCCGGCACGGAGCGCAGGCCCACTCCGGCAAGGTCCAGACCTTGTACTTCGATGTCTTCGGCCGCGGAGCCAAGCCACATTTCGAGCAGGGCGGATACTTGCACGATTCACACCCAAATCCCCAGGAGTGCGTCAAACGTGCGGGAGGCTTTGCTCCGCACCCCCCCTTGCATGGTGCAACGTATCCACTGTATCCAAAGATTCCTTGTATTGTGTTACATTATTATGTCTCCCCCCCGAACCCCCCTGGGAGCCGCGCCACAGCGCCGCACCAAAATGGTCGCCCCCTTCTGGAGCCCTAAAAACATTCAAAGACCCTTGGGGCAATCAGCAAATTCGGCCTCTTGGGCCTCTTGGGGGGCCACGAGGGCGCCAAGACGGTTCAAGATGGTCCCAAGAGGGCCCCCAAAGCCCCAATGACGGCCCAAGAGGGCCCCAAGAGCGCCCACAACTGCGCCTCCATATGCCAAAATCATTGATTGTCCTATGGTTTTGGCGATATTTCAGCGTTCTCGCCGTTGCAGCCCAAACAACTTCCAAAATCGCCCCAGAACAACCCCCAAAAAGTCCCTAAGAGGGCCCCAAGACGGCCCAAGAGGGACCCAAGACGGCCCAAAGAGGCCCCCAAGACAGCCCAGGAGGCTCCTAAAACGTCCCAAGAGGACCCCAAGAGGGCCCCAAGGCGGCCGCGAGAGGCCCCCAAGACGGCCTCCGAAAAGGCGAAACGGTTGAAAAACGCCCCAAGACGGCCCAGGACACCCCCAAGAGGCCCCAAGAGGCCCCAAAGACGCCCCCAAGGGGCGCCAAGGAGCCCCCAAAAGGCCTCCAAGAAATCTCCAAAAAGCTTCCAAAACGCCCCATAGAAGCCCCCCAAAGCCCACACAGCGACTGGAGTGTACTGTCATTTCCCCCCCCTGGGCGAAGTGCGGCGCAGCGCCAGCCAGGTGGAAGTTGGTCACGGCGGCGCCCATGACTAGTGCTGGCGCTGGAAGGGGATATGGGGAGGGAGTATGAAAAGGAGGGAGGGGGGAGAGGCCCCAAAGACGTCCCCAAGACGGCCCAAGACGCCCCCACGAAACTCCCGAGAACCCCCAAAACGACTTCACTGCACGTGCTCCGGACGTGCACCCCGCGAAGCGAGAGGAATCCACGTCCGGAAGTGACGTGTTATCGAAGCAGGCCGCGAAGCGGAGCTGAAGCCCTAATGCAGCGTATCCAATATATTCAAATCTTGCGTTATTGCTATAGTAGCAAGTACACGATTGCGTGATGACGTAATCAGGTAACTGCAGAGAATTCCCATGCTAGTGTAACATAGTGCAACATGTAGCAGTGCTACATGCTGCATTCTGTTACACTATCCTGCACCTCCCCTACCCACACACCCCAGGAGATACGTAACCCCCCGAATCCTCCCCCCAGGAGTCGCGCCACATCGGCGGACCAAAATGGCAGCCCCCCTTCTGGCCTCTCACAAATACAACACATGTGGAATATCTACGATGCCAGCCTCCAGGGACTGCTGGGGGTCCAAAAGGCCCCAAGACGGTTCAACTTGGCCCCCAGACGGCCCAAGACGGCCCAAGATGGTCCCAAGAGGGCCCCCAAAGAGCCCAAAACGGCCCCAGAAGGGGGCTCCCAAGAGCACCTCCAGACGCTCAAAGCACGCAGTGTCCTATGATTTGTGTTAGGTTTTCGCGTTCTCGCCTTTTTCTACTTCTGGGGCCCATGACTGCCCAATCAGCCTCCAAGATGGCCCCAAAGACAGCCCAAAAGGGACCCAAGATGGCCAAAGAGGCCCCCGAGACGGCCTAACGGGCCCGCAACGTTTTGGCCCAAGAGGACCCTAAGGCAGCCCCAAGGCGGCCCCGAGAGGCCTGAGACGGCGTCCGAAGGGGCCAGACGGCGCAGCATGGCCCCAACACGGCCCAAGAGGCCCCCAAGAGGCCGCAAAGAGGCCCCAAAGAGGCCCCCAGGGGCACCAAAGAAGCCTCCAAGAGGTCCCCAAGAGGCCCCCAAACGGGCCCAGGAAGCCGCCAGCCAGAGCAACTGTATACGAGTGGCGCGTTGTTGCTATGCTAATCTGCATGCGAAGTTGGCGTTGCCTTGTGCCGACACGCGGTTCTCGTTTCGTAAACCACCCTTGAATGCAAACGGCCTAGGACCGAAACCGACCGACGGACGTGGACCCGCAAAAATGACGGCCGCGACGCCCTCTCGCGAACCGAAAACGGCCAATTCGCTAATCGACGTGTCAGGGTAGGAGGCCTCTCAACCTCCGAGGTTCATTGCCCTCTGGACGTTCGCACGCTCGTCCCGGCGCTGAAACGGTGGGGTAATTACGCATCCGCCTCCCGTGGCGCTGGCAGCGCCCCAGGCCCGGCAGGGCGGAAGCCCCGCCCTGATCGCAAAACCGCCCGGAGCACGGCGGATCCGCAGTCAAGGGACGCTCCCTCTCTTTTCGGGCCCCCAGAACCATGTGGCGACGGACCGCGTGCTGACCTCAGAACCCCCCGCGACCTCACCCCGCGCGCTCCGTCACCACACGGCCCTGGGACCCTGGAGGCCCCGGACGCCCGGAGACATCCCCATCGAACGACACGCATCCCAAAACCGCGTAGAGACCACGCGGTGGGGTCACCGCAATGGTTTTCGGGCCATAAATCGGGTCTTCTGCAGCCGTTTTGGACGATTCTGGCACCCCGGAACGCCCCTGGCGAGGCGCAGCCGATGGAAACCACCCCAGGGTCCGGAAACGCCCGAAAACTTACTG